ATCGTGAACGTTTTTGGAGCGAAGACTTTAGCCGTTTTGATACCGTTGGATCTAGAGCTTGAGTTGGCGCCTACCACTACGTTGACCCAACACCTCACATCCCGGGGCGACAGCCAAGCCAAGCTTATCCGGGTCAGAGGGCATGTCTCTCGTCCAGCACATGGCGAAGGACGGCAGACTCCGGATAGGCAAATGTTCTTCGTCAACGGCCGCCCATGTGGGCTACCTCAGTTCGCCAAGGTTTTCAACGAAGTGTACAAATCTTATAATGCTTCGCAATCGCCTTTCATCTTTGCCGATATTCAACTTGATACTCATCTCTATGATGTCAACGTTAGCCCGGACAAGCGAACTATCCTACTCCACGACCAAACTCGGATGCTTGACAACCTTAGAGAGTCACTCAGCGCCTTGTTTGAATCACAGGACTATGCATTACCGACCTCACATCTGCAAACACCAAAGCAATCCCTTCTTAAACGGCCCTCTCTGGGAAGGCAAGACACACCCTCGTCAGAAGCGGCCACGAAAACCTTAGCCTCAATCGACGTTGTCTCCCCCATAGGACCAAACTCTGCAGATGCCAAATCAAGATCTGAGGGTGGGACCCTGAGCATTGACAGCGGTGACAGTGCGCAAGCTTCTCACAGCAACAGTTTAATCAACCGTTGGGTTGGGCGTAATTGCGATTTACGTGAGGATACTGATGTGAAAGATAATAAGACGGTAAAAAGCGTCGATGAAGGGCATCCTGTTCCGAGAGGAGACGCACGAAGCCCACGAAGCCCACCTCCTGGTGTTGAGCAGGAAGAGTCGCCACCAAATGAAGAGTCAGCTAAGGTTTCTGATCGTGTAACGGATTTCCGAGCACGCCTCAAAGAGTTGAAGAATAGAAAAACTGATGAAACCACGAACAAGGCTACACTACCCAAAAGCCCTTCATCAGAACCGCCGATCCCTGCTCTATCTCCTCTACCTCGTATAACGGATATCAACTCTAACAAAGCTTATCCCTCCTCCACGGCGAAGCGCCCTGCCCCAGAAATTGCTACCATTACAATAGGTGATCATACTGTCACAAGCATCATCGGTTCAGCACCCAAAAAGCAGCGACTCGAAAGTCGAGAAACCCGGAATCCCCCCACACGAAAAGGTGTTAAAGCATCGGTACCTGTACCTTCTTTTAATGGACGGTTAACTCAAATGTTCGCGGCGCAAACGGAACGGTCCCAGTCTGACGAGGGGGAAATCATGGTCACTGCAGAAGTGGAAGATGATCGACCGGATGCGGATTCATCAAGTGAGCATTTGTTCGTATCTGACGATTCGGGAGGAGAAAGCGATAACGAAGACACGGATAGACCAAGCGGAGGTGGGCATCAAAAGCGCTCTTCTCCCCAGGTCTCGCAAGCATCCGAGGCGAACCCTGATGGGGACTCGGGGGCTGAGCCGACATCTCCGGCCGATCCTGGTGACATTGAATATAGAGATGAAGAAATTCAAGAGACGAAGGAAGAGAGTGATGCTGGCGAAACCGTCGAAAATGCCCAAGCTCCGGAGGAAATGATTTCAGAGGAATCACAAAAACGCACACAGAGTTTTGTCAAGGGTAATACCAAGAGGAAAGACGCCATATATCATCTCCAACAAACCTTACGAGTGGACGCAAAGCTCATTCACAATGCCTTGACCTTGCAGCAAGAGTATATCTCTCGTTCTCTTACTAGCACAAGAGCTATGCTAGAAACTGATCGCCTTGATGCCGAAGATGCCGAAGAAAAGCTGTCCTTGACTATATCAAAATCGGATTTTGAGAAGATGAAAATCATAGGGCAGTTCAATCTAGGATTCATCCTAGCTTCCCGCGCAGCCGAAGAAAGTTCAGTGGACACCCTAGACAGGAGTGGCAGAGACGACGAGCTATTTATCATTGATCAGCACGCAACAGACGAGAAGTATAACTTCGAACGGCTACAGACTAGCACCGTTGTACAGTCTCAGAGACTAGTGCATCCCAAGACGCTTGAGCTCACAGCTGTTGAAGAAGATATAGTACAACAAAACCTCGATGCCCTGGAAACAAACGGGTTTATGGTTAGTTTCGACGAGAGCGGTGACCATCCCGTGGGAACGCGGTGTCAGTTGCTTAGTCTGCCACTGAGCCGGGAAACCACTTTCTCCCTCGCAGACCTAGAAGAGCTCATCTCGCTCCTCCAAGATCACCAATCCACATCCGCGAATACGATCCCTCGGCCGTCCAAGGTTCGCAAGATGTTCGCGATGCGCGCTTGTCGAAGCAGCGTCATGATTGGGAAATCGCTATCGACTAAGCAGATGGAGAAGCTTGTCCGACATATGGGCGAGCTCGATAAGCCGTGGAATTGCCCACATGGGCGACCAACTATGAGGCATCTGTGCGGCTTAGGTGCGTGGGATGAGCTGGGCTGGAAAGAAGGCGATGGCTTCGATGGAAACAGGGCATCGCGTACAGATTGGAATGCTTACCTTGACGAGGAGCGAGATCTGGAATAGGAATAATATTGTCATACATGTATAGTCTGGTTGTATTGCTTGAAATTGGGCTAGAGAAGAGCACATTCGTCGTATGGATATATACCCCTAGTTATGTACTATAACATTAGACTCGAAACTTGCTATGAAATATAGTACCTGTTTTTGGCTGGCTGATAGCGAATGCTTGAGATTCTCATGTTAGAGCCACGGGACTCTATGTGCTGCCATGCAATCGCCAATGAATTTCGCCAAGCATCTCTCTATTTCACCACCTGAACTAACGGGCTGTCATGTAGCGGCTCTTCTCACGCATTGCGCTGTATCTTGCCCCGCATGTCCACACAAAACTATGATAACGAGGAGGGGCCACTTCCTGTTTTCCCAAGGGAGATAGGCCTCCCAACTTAGTCCGTTTCATAGAAGCTTGACTGGGCGAGCTTAATAATTACCAAAGAATTGGATATGAAATTGCCGGATCGATACGGAGACTTGAGTCTTTAGGCAGTACATTGTTAGTTGTTATACACGAGGTGCCACTGCCGTCTATTCCTTACCCCGCTGGGGTCACCAACTAACCCGGCGTAACCTCCCGGCGTTATCGGTAGCGGTATTAGGAAAAGCGGCAACCCGACCCCAGATTATGTCCGGCAACCTGGTGTTTTTTTTTAGTCTAATACCTGAGGCTATTCCCCTCACTATCTCCGTATAAACTACCTAAATAGGCAAATTATAGTCTCCTAGACACTTGGCAACCTTGGCTTGATTGGCCTAAACTTTCCGTGCTGCCTTGATATTGAGCGGACAAAGTATCCGACGGATGATAATCCCTTACTGTAATTCGTTGGGACCGGCCGTACGCACGGGATTGCACGTTAATGACTCAGCGAGGCGTGCTAGGCGTCATCTCGTGGTTTCGTCGTATTATCACCAATCAACTGGGGGTGTGAGGTTTGTTTGTTCAAAGCTATAAGAGCGAGGAGCTCCCAGCCGGACCATCGTAGAAGACGGGTAGCAAGTAGATCAGCATCAATATCAATCATCACCTCGCGCAAATCATAGTCTCAAGTCTAGCATCACCGCATCCCCCATACTCACCCTCGTATCCCACCATGTCCACCTCCAACACCCCCCTCAAGCCCATCACCATCTGGGGCCACAGCATTGGCCCGAACCCCCTCAAAGTCCGGATGGTGCTCGAGGAGCTGGGATTGCCGTACGACTTCAAGGTAGTCGAGTTCGACGAGATGAAGCAGGAAGCGTACCTCAGAGTCAACCCTAACGGCCGTGTCCCCGCGATCCACGATCCCAACACGGACCTTACGTTGTGGGAATCCGGCCCCATCATCGAGTATCTCGTCGAGCAATACGACAAGGACCACAAGATCTCCTACGACACCTTCGCCGAGAAGCACCACGTCAGGCAGTGGATTGCGTACCAGATTTCCGGTAAGACATTTCCTCTAGTCTTATCCCTCGATAAGCTTACGTCATCATCATCATCATCGTCATCATCACCATCACCCCTTCTTTTTATCTCTTTCAAAATCAAGCAATCGTCACTTGGTGATCCCCGTGACTGACACGGCGTCGATATTAGGCCAAGGTCCGTACTATGGACAGGGTGTGTGGTTCTCATTCTTCCACCACGAGAAGCTGCCCTCGGTCGTCGAACGCTACTTCAAAGAGGTGGAGCGCGTCCGTTCGGTGGTGGACCTGCACCTCTCCCGTCGGGCCGGGGAGAAGCAGGGCGAGAGAGTGGCGGACAAGGACGTCTGGCTCGTGGGCGACAAGTTGACGGTGGCGGACCTCAGCTGGTTCATCTGGGAGCAGATCATCGACTTCACGATGACCAGGACCGGCGCCGCCATCCCGAAGGTTGGTAATCTCCGTCCTTTCGGTTCCCATTTCATGGTGTATAGTGCGTTTTTTTATTTAGATTGGCTTGATTTTGCTAACTCCGGGATAAGGGCAAGTATCCTCACTATGAGGCGTGGTATAAGAAGATCGAGGGCCGCCCTAGCGCACAGCAGGCCATCGAAAGTAGAAATGAAGGTCTGAAACAGCTTCAACTTCCAGCTGACCTGGAGTCCTATAAGCCTTGAATTAGGTGAGGGTGGTAACCATAAGCCAGGAGCAAGAACCCTACTTAACTACCTACAACCCGTATTGATCGATTGCCTAGTCTAAAAAGGTAGGCAATAGATCAGATAGCTCGCAATGAAACCATCGCTGTATATAAAACTAAAGTATATATATATATATATATCTCATCTCGGTCTTAATCGTCTAAGTGTTTTAGTTGTAGTGCTTTATAGTACTATGTAGTAGACAGTCGTCAGGACTAGTTGTATTCGTGATTTAAATCATCACCGTTGCTGTAACCCCGCGCTCCGTTTTCGCCGCACAATCCCGATTAGCATCACTTGCCCCACCCGATTTCCGCCGTTCTGAAGATATCGATTTAGTGATAAAGATCGATAGTCAATGGGCGTGTAGCTCAGGGGTAGAGCGCTCGCTTTGCATCCGCCTCGCCACCTTGGTTAAGGCGTAAAAATGCGAGAGGCCTAGGGTTCAAATCCCTACTCGTCCAACGTTTTGCTTATTCATTAAAGCCAGTGTAATAATGAGTCGGGCTATGTTACTATTATTGCTATAGAGGAAATGGAGTAAACTAGAGTTTACAGATCAACTGAGGTTAACCCCCTCCCCCCGGTCTACTTTTAGGGGTATACGCTTCGCGCCGAACCCCACTCTAGAAAAAAAGCGAATATGTTTTTATTTTGGTCCGCCGCTCGCCTTACAGTACTATGTACAGGCTCACGAGGCTCGCTTATCTTTTGTAGCGTTGTGGCGTTATTGTGGCGTCAAGTACTTTGTAGATCACATCCATGGAATCCGCCGTAAAGGGTTGGTTAGCCTTTATGCATCCAGCCAGAATGACGGGCCGTCCACGTGCGACTCGTCTATTCATAGTATTATTTTCTTTTTTAATGCCCCGCGTTCTTCTTTAACCGCTAAAAGATTGAGACTTGATTGAAGTCACTGCTATTTCTGCAAATATAAGCTGTATACGTAGGCCGGTGACCGCGTGTACCTGATGTCATACCTGCTAAGGACCTTCGGCAATAACTTAAAGAGAAATTCTACATTTGTATGCTTTATTTGTAGTTTTTTCGCGACACCGTGAAGTTGCGTTTCGTAAGTAGGGATGCTATCACGGTCATTAGGCTGCGTTTAGGTGTCCTGGGGATTATCGGATTGATTAGCTAAATCGGGTGGCATGCTGCGTATCACTGTTTTTTCCACATTCGTCAAGTGATATCGGGATGAAATAGGGATGGTGGTTGTAAATGTATGGGACTGTTGGCGTTGAGGCGGCCAATAGAGCACCACGTGTTGATATACAAGTGACTGCGAAATGGAACCTTGGACTCGACCAGCAGTACTATCGGCGCCAGCATGCTTAAAAAGAAACCCGCCTACTCTACATAGATAGTCTCCGCTGCAGGCTCGTGCATCCACATCACTGGTACACTATCTGGTACTTGATATGATCTGGTAATCCTACCATTGCAATACTCAAAATCACATGTGCTTCTTTTTTTTAAAGACCCCCTCTCTGGCTATGTGGATGTGCTATATCCCTGAATAGATAGATCTAGGTTTGTAAGCACGTCGCCTGGTTTTACCAGTTACTAGGTAGATAAGAAAGTCGTGACCTAACATACTCACCCTCTGTCAACACTTTGCTCCTTACATCTTATATCGACCTGGCATTGAATCTCGAGCACCATGGCGCCCCACAGTCTGCATGATGAAGGTCCCGCCGACCTTGAACAGAAGCTAGGCGATGTTGAAATCCGGCCGCCATCCCCACCTCCGATGTCTGCAGAGCCTCCGCGACTGCTCGTCATCGGCGCCGGGTCTCGCGGCCGCACATACGCCAGATGCTCTCTCCAATCGAGCAACGGTGTGGTCGCCGCAGTTGCTGAGCCCGACGATTATAAACGCGACGACTTTGGCGGTAAGTTCATATGGGGTAGGACGGCGTTGCCCCCGGATGGGTCAAGTTTTAGGGGTTGGGAAGAATATGTTACGTGGGAAACAGATCGCCGTCAGCGACAGGCGTCGGGCGAGGCTGTTCCAGAAGGCGTCGACGCCGCCTTTATTTGCGTGCGAGATGAAATGCATCATGATGTGATCATGGCCCTCGCACCACTTGGCCTTCACATCATGTGCGAGAAGCCACTCGCTACCACGCTTGAGGCCTGCACTAACATATACCGGACGTTGGCACCACTCCAGACCTCCAAAGTGTTCTCCATCGGACATGTGATGCGCTACTCACCTCACAACATGATGCTGCGAAAGCTGCTGCTTGAAGATAACGCCATTGGCGACATACTCAGTGTGAACCACACGGAGCCGGTAGGATTCTGGCACTTTTCGCATAGTTACGTGCGTGGTAATTGGCGAAAGGAATCTATCACAGCCCCGTCACTGCTCACCAAAAGCTGCCATGACATTGACGTCCTCTTATGGCTCATGTGCTCCCCTGCACCCGGATCGGATGCGCCCGAGCATCTACCCACATCTGTCACATCCACCGGCTCGGTGCAATTTTTCAGAAAGGGCAGGAAACCCAAAGCGGCAGGTAATGCGACCAACTGCCTCAGCTGCCCCGCTGAGAAAGACTGCTTGTATTCCAGCAAGCGAATTTACGTGGGCCAGAGACACATGGGAGTCGAGACCGGTAACATCCGGTGGCCTATCAGCATCGTTCTTCCGGACATAGAAAGTTACGGGGCTGATATCGACAAGGCGAAAGGCGCAGTACTATCGGTGCTCGCTGAAGACTATGACAACTCAACGCCCCAGGAAGTAATCGACGGTAAGAACTGGTTTGGCCGATGCGTCTTCGAGTCGGACAACGACGTATGCGACGAGCAGGTCGTGACAATGACTTGGGAGGACGACCCGCTACCCCATTCCAGCGTGACGGCGAAGGACGCCCTGGGTGCCCGAGGTGCTAAACAGGCGACGTTCCACATGATTGCGCAGACCAAGAAGCAATGCCAAAGATATACATACATCTACGGCACCGAGGGCGAGATCTACGCAGATTCCAAGACGATCACGATCGAGGATTTCCGAACGGGTGGGACGAGGACTTACAAGCCCAAATTGGAAAGCCTCGGCCACGGCGGTGGTGATCACGGCTTGACGAGGCAGTTCGTGCTCGCCGTCGACAGGGTCAAGAACAGCGGGTGGAAGGCAGAAGACGCCCAGCGCGAGTTCATCGGATGCAGTCTGGAGGAGATCATCCGCAGCCACGCGATGGTGTTCGCTGCCGAGGAGGCGAGGAGGGACAGGAAGACTGTTGATTGGAAGGCTTGGTGGGGCGAGAACGTCGGCACCATGTAAGCTTTTTCTTTCTTTTCCGGGCTTGTGGCGCATGGGTTCCGCGGGAAATGCGCGCGGAGCGGACATTGATACAGTATGGTCGCGTTGCACTGCTTCATGGTTGCTCATAGTACGTTCACATGACGTCCAGCCACCGTGCCGATGGACGCTGAGTTGCGTACCATTCAGAGGCGCGAGCAGGAGCTGGCGAATTCCGCATACTTAAGACCGGATCGTACCCTGATAAGGGCTTCAATAGGCATTTAGTAATATTTCTGGTAATCAATCCCTTGGGCCCTATACACGCCCTTCAACGCGGTATAATCGTGAGCAAGGTAGCTCTGGTGTTGTCGTGATAGTTGTGCTGAAATTAGACGTATCCTAACGCCCAATACGCCGTTTCCAATGCAAAAACCCAATCAAATGCGCAATTTTGAAGCCCTTAAACCAGCCAGCTTGGGGGCTGTGCTACCTAGTCCTCGAGTCCGTGCCACGAGGTTACAGGCTATCTCGCCCCGAAGGATGAGGGTGCTAAACCCAATCTCATCCTGTTCCGTAGCCCGTGGGTTAATTACGCATGAGAAAGCAAACGCCCAATTCATACATGAGGTAAGCTGTACAGGTATCTCCTTGCTGGCCAGCTCATCGTTCTACTCAACTGGGCAGGTAGCAATAATTGAGCACACACGGAAAGCCTCCTTGCTATTTAAGACGGACGCCGAAGGAGCCTCGGTTTTTGCCTTTTTTAGACACGCCCATTCATCCGCCGTCTATTCATGCGTTACTCGTGCTTGGCAAGTATTCTTGGTCTTCCCTACTTAGATGCTTTAGGACTATTTGTTTTCAGTCTGGCACTTTGACAGACGTCAAATGATCACCGCTACCGCCGATGCGCTAATGCATCCTGTCTTGGAATAGCTAGGTAAAGTTGGACGCTATAAGCCCCAGAAAGAAACAACACCTGAACCTCGAGCAGGCTGTCAGATTGTAAGTACGCGGGCCGAATCCACCCCCGGGTCTTCGGCCGGCGCTTGGCAACGCAGCAGTGGTCTGTACAGTACTGCACTGGACTAATCTGCACTTTTACCTAGTACGTAAGTACAACGAGCTGAAGCTATATGATTTATTAAAGCCGACTTCCGGATTGGACGGATCCAAAGGCCCTATTCAGCAAGTTAAGCACGCCCAAACTTATGACTGTGGTTGGCACTCTCGGGACGGCAGCCGGCTGAGCCCGGCGACGACTCACCTGGGGCTTTGATTTTATGGTTATCTTTACATGAAGCTTCAACGTTACCATCAAGTTAGACGGGCTCTGCGCTGAATACGGATGGCACGTAGGATGCCCGCACCATTCTCTACGTAGCCAAGATTATTATTAGCTTGAAACGAAAAAACGGACGGCCGTCTACCTTCCCTCTTAGGAAGCTGAGAGCTACCAAATACAGTGGATCACCATCAATTATGTATATAAGAAGGCCTTCGCTGGCCACGATCTTCGTAGAATCAAGTCTACCCACGCATCAAAATGAAGTCGGTACTCGCCCTATCAGCTCTCCTGTCCTTAGCTTGGGCTCAGGACCTCTGCGGCCAATACAGCTACTATAGTAGCAATAACGGGTATTACTTCAATAATAATGCTTGGGGTCAGTCCGCTGGGACTGGCAGCCAGTGCACGCATGTCGACATGATCTTGAACCCGGGCGTCCAGTGGCACACGGAGTGGAATTGGTCTGGCGGCGACAATAACGTCAAGGCCTACCCTTACTCCGGACGCCAGCTGTCCAGCAAGAAGACGCTCAACAATATCGGTAGCATACAGACGAAGGCGGAGTGGCGTTATCTCGGAGACAACATCCGCGCCAACATCGCTTACGACTTATTCACGGCGGCAGACCCGAACCACGACACCAGCAGTGGCGACTACGAGCTCATGGTCTGGATTGGACGAAAGGGCGGTGTTCAGCCCATCGGCAGTTCCACCGGTAATGTCAACGTTGCTGGACGAACTTGGGAGTTGTGGGTTGGGAACAACGGGCCCATGAGGGTATTCAGCTTCGTGGCGCCGAGCGAGATTGCCACCTTTGAGTCTAATCTGAAGCCCTTCTTCGACCACGTCGCCAACACACAGGGTTTCCCGGCTTCATCGCAGTACCTAACCAGTATGTTTCTTTTTCTTTCTTCTGT